ACATTATCCTCAGTAGGGCTTAAGGGAATTCGTAGTAAAAATAAAAGCAAACTGTCTTATCTGCTAAATTCTTATCATGTGTTAGGCACTGTGCTCAGAGTTTTATATGCAAGGAGGTAGGCAGATATATTGATTGAGACAGCAGTGGCTTATATAGAATGAGAAACTCACCCAAGGTCCCGGAACTCTTCAATCTTCAGAGTCCGAGCTTTTAGCCACTATGATATGCTATTGACTTTGCTTAGTAAGTGGACATTTCAGTTAAAAAAAATGTTATCTTTCTGGTACTGGTATACTTCTGCAGCCCCAGAAGTATATCAATATAATCAGTCTTTTAATCAGGGTTCTCCTATAGCTAAAAAAAAAAAAAAAAGTTAAATATGTTTTAAACTTCTAAATAGAAAATGAATTATGTGTATTATATTAAATATGTATGTTTATGTATATATGTTTATTACTCTATCTTTTAATCCATCTCTCTATACTTCTGCTGAGTAACCTGCATTCAGGCATCTTCCTTTAAACTAGTCCAGAACTCTAAGGAAGCAGTTATCAGTTGAATTTACCTTTTTATTGATCTTTCATTTTGTGCATAACTTAGGTAAAAATGTGAAGCAATCAGTCTACATGTTTATTCGGTAATTATTATTCAGCCAAAACATGTGACAGGCTCCATTCTGAGTAGTGACATATAGTACCCAACAAGATAGATAGTTTCTGATTTTTAGGAATCAAAGTCATATTTACCATAAAACAAATGAAGCTAGAGTTGTAGGGAGCCTCACTGTGCAGGTCTCTTCCCATGTGTTCGTGTGGCCTATCTTTATTAAATATGCTATGACTCTTTTCTTTTCATTTTAAAATTTTGCCAGAGGGTATGTGTGCTCATGGGAGACAGCCAGCGAGAGATAAGAGAAGTAGAAAGCAACCCCGTGGGAATGGTCACACCGCAATACCTTCTCTTCCATTTTTCTCTCTTTTTTTCCAGGACATACACATGTGTCCGACCACTGTCTCTTTCCTAGCCTAACCTAACCAATTGCAGTAAGGACAACAAGAATAAACTAGTTAATATATTCCATCAATTCAGAGCTTGGGGATTAACCCTTTAAAGGAAAACTTTAGGTGTCTTTAAATATTAAAGTTCCTGCTATGGTTTCAGTGTGTTCCCCCCTCCCCAAATCCTTGTGGTGAAATATGGTTATGACATTGCAGGGAGCACCTTAAAGTGGATACGATTTTTGCACTATGGCTGCAAGGCATGTGAAAGCTATAAACAAAGACATGGTCTACTGATGGGCTTTATAGAAAAAACCTGAGTGTTAGCCAGAGAAGGCCAAAAGAGGCTTGTTTAGAACCACGAGGTGCAAACGCAGTTGAAGCATAAGGCTTTGCCTCCCCTGTAAAAGAATAACATAGAACAATTCCGGACTGTGGTGTTCTCCATGAGAGATGCTCAGTCTGTTTGACCCTCCCTCTCAGCAGCCCCGCACCTTTTTTTTCCCCCCCCCCCACACCGCCTTCCTCTGTCTGTCCTTTCTCAATCTACAACCCTTCCCTTGGGGTACCCAATCTCTCTCTTTGCCATTGGACTGGGGCATGTGGCGCCTGAACAGGGTCCCAAGCATGGAAGATTATGCAAGTGCAGTCAGGAGGCTGGCAGTAAGAGAGTAAAGAAAAAACATTGAGGGAGTAAGAAGTGGATGTACAGTTAGTAGTAAAACAGGGGAACCTCTCAGAGAGAGATATGTATAGTTGAATGTCCTATTTGTGAAAAGTACATCAAGTATGTCAAAAGTACAAAAGTTAAGAAACTGAGAAGAGATTTACAAGTAAAAAGCTAAGCAACTTAGAAGTTAAGAGATTGAGAAATTAGGTGATTTAGAAGCTACGAGATTTAGAAAGTTTAGAAAGTTAAATATAGAAGTTAGACAAAGCTAAGAGTTATTAGGTTAGAGTAATTAGAAAGCTAAGATTAAGAAAATTTATTGAAAGTTTAAGAAATTTAAAATACTAAGAAATTTAGAAGGCTAAGAAGAAACTTGGGAAGCTAAGAGATTTATTAAAAGGCTAAGAAGTGTATTGGAGGGCTAGGAAGAAATTTAAAAAGCTGAAAAAGGAAAAGTAAGAGGTGGAATCAATTTGAACAATTGAAGGAGTCAGTTTGAAGTCGGGAGTGAAACAGGGAAAACTCCCCAAGTAAAAAAGGGAATTGGCAGAGTAAAAAAGCTAGGAGCAGCAAGTTAATGAAAAGTAGTTAAAAGATAAAAATCCCCAGTTTAAAATTAAAATATAAGTTCTGCAAATTTGAAAGGTCAGATGTAAAATGAACAGCTCTCCAAGAAACGTGGGTATGTTTAACAACAAAAGACAAGATGTTTAATGGCAAATTATGTGCTCAAATTAGAGAAACGAAAGAGGGGAAATGCAGGGAGGCCTTCAAGTGGATATAGTACATATAGCAGCAAAGACAAAATCATAATCTGCTAGACTTTACAGACAGAAGAAACCTGAGTGTCAGCCAGAGGAGGCCCGGAGAGGCTTGTTAAGAACCATGAGGGAATGAGCACAGAACTGCTCAGGCCATGGGATTCTCCTTGAGAGATGCCCAGTCTGCCCGACCACTGCTTTCCTCTGTCCTTTCTGAACCCACAGATATTCCCCTCAGGGTACCCTATCTCTTCGCCCTCAGGTTTGGGCATGACAGGATTAAGAAGGTGAAAACTTAATCCAAATATAAGGTTAAGAAGAAGAGCCTTCGTGAAAAGCAGAGGTGATTAGGATTAAGGTCATCAGGATGCAGCTCCCATGATTGGATTCTGATGGGTTTATAAGGAGAGAAGCAATAAGAAAAAGACACAGAAACAAACGTGGCCTGCTCAAGTTCTTGCCATGTGGTGCTTCGTGTCACCCTGGGATTCTGCAGAGTCCCCACCCACAAGGTGGTCTCCAGAGATAAGTCCTTGATCTTGAGCCTCCAGAACCATAAACTAAATTAACCTCTGTTTTTTATAAATCACCCGGCCTCAGGTATTTCTGTATTAGCAACACAACGGACTAAAACAGCTCCTAGAAGAGACTGGAAAACAATTAGCCTTTACGTGGTATGACAAATACAGAGATGTAAAATGAAAGAGGACCAGCTCCACAGGCTGCAGTTTAAGGCAGTCATATCTCACATGGTCGACGATGTGGTTCAAGTCTTGAACCCAGTGGTTTGAGAAACATGCCAGGCACCTGCATATTTATGCCCCAAATTCTGAAAGGTGGGAGAGATGGAGGAAAAAGGGTTGAAATGTGACAATGCCCTAGAAGGGTTACTTTCTTCTGATCTCTGTTCCTGGCAAGTGTTTGTATCCTCTAAGTAAAGGAAAAAGGAAAAAAAAAAAAAATGAAAGGAACTTTCTCGAGTATAAATAATAATAATTTTAAAATTTTAATTTGCCATGTTAGAAAAGTGAATTCTTATTCCCTTAAGAAAACAATGATTTTATAAAATTATCATATAAATAGGTGATCAAAAGACATTGACCCCAAAACTATAGGAAAAAAAGATATTACAGAAGTCTTCAGCTACTCAGTAAAATGTACATGAATTTTTATTTTTATTTTTTGGGTCTGTTAGCTTTTGAAAATATGTAATTTGCTAGGATTACTTTTCTCATTCTAAGTAAATATTACATTTTATATTGTTTCACAGTTTTGTATCTTTTTCCTTAAAGAACTCCTCTTCTCCAAATTGTAGAAACTTCAGTCTCTACAAAACTTAGGTCTCTCTATATGGGTTTTAATGAGAAAAGACAATTTAAAAATAAACATTACATATAAGTTAGTGAAACTTCTTTTTTTTTAAATAAAGAGTAAAGGCAACAGAGAATCAGAGAATGCCAACAGGGGGTACAAAAGAGTAAGTTGCTCTACTCACAGGGTTATGATTTGTTTTCTAGTGCACTATGATAAGTTACCACCCTTGTAGCAATGTGAAATAAGACATTTTTGTGAGTCCTCCAACCAGATGGGGCTTCACTGAGTTCTATAGTTTTTTTTTTTTTTTAATAGGTCTTTCTTTTATGAGAGTGACTGAGAGAGGGGGAGAGAGAGACACACACACATGCACACAAGCTGTCTCCCCAGGGCCCTGCGCCACAATTCCCTCCAGTCTTCCAGGCCAACCAGGATCAAAGGTTCATGCCCAGTGGGTACATGCTGACTGGGGAACTGAACCCATGATTTTCTGTATGGATCCAGCATCAGTTGAGCAGAATGTTACTCAGGTCCCTTTAGAATTGCTCACAAGGCTGCAGTCAAGGTGTCAGCAAGGTCTGGGGTCCTAGCAGAATGCTTGACTAAGGATAGGTCTGCTGTCTGCCCAGATGGGTGGCAGAATTAACTTCTTTATGGAGTGTTTGACTTAGGGCCTCAGTTCCTTCCTGGTTTTCGGCTGCAAGCTGCCCTCAGTTCTTTGCAAGGTGGGGCCTCTCTGCCTCATCAAAGCCAGTAAGGAAGTCTCTGCCGGCAAGGTAGAAGTTACAATTTTATGGTGATAGAACTGTAGAAGTGATGTCCATGCCATCCAACTCTATTTTCTGAATCTTTAGTTTTATTGGTTAAAGTCACGGGTCCTGGCCTCACCCAAAGAAGAAGGCTTAAAGGGAAGGTAGTTGATGAGGGCCAGAAATGGAGTCGCTGGAGGCCTCCTCCAGTCTCCACCGCAGGGTAAGGGAAGGCACCTCTAATAGGTTCATGTATGAATAGAAACTGGAAGACAGGGTGAATATGCAGCCCTCTGGGAAAAGGGCATTCCACAGAGGGAATATATGCAAAGGGTCTGAGTTCAAAATGGTTTGAGTAAGAGCCAGGAGTCTGACTGAGTGAGCTACAGGGACAGGTAGGAGGTGAAATCAGACAGGTGGGGTAGGGGCTATTATACAGTTGTTAAGGCAGAATATGCACACAAGAGTAAGTGAGCAACATTTCCAGGTAGTACACTTCAAGGAAAGATGCAAATACTGAGTATCAAAGGAGTTGGAGGAAGGATGTATGCAGGGTTGAATGTCCAGGAAAGACCCCAACCAAAAGTTTGTGGAGAAGTGGCCTATGAACACAGATGTAATAGAAGAGATGCCAATTTAGTGACATCCAATTTTTCTATACATTGTCTCAACATATGTGAGACAGATCTTGTTCCTGAGCAAGTTAGGCAACACGCACTGACTTGTGATGATGCAAAATGCTATTTTGAGAGAGGGAGGATTCTCCTTTCACATAGGAAGAATTTAGGAAGAAGCAGAAAGTAAAAAGTGAATTCGTGTGATGTTATTATTCCTTACAAATCTCCCAGTCACTCCTCTACATTTCACAGTCTCCCTCTCGGCCACTGAGAGACAAGGAGTCTGCCAGATGGCAGCTCACCTTCTAGCATCCTTATATAAAAAAGAGAGAGGGAGAATCTATTGACTTGCTAGTGAAGCACTAAATCATAGTAAATGGATGTAAGAAGCAATTACAGTGGGCTTTTGGAGTTGTTCATGGCCTGAAGATTGAATTTTTGAAATGTGAAAGGGCCTTGAAGAGACATACATAAATGCCTCATACTCTAGAACTTAATGCATTCTCTCTCTCTCTCACACACACACACACTCACACGCACACACACACACACATGCAAAAGAGGAACCTTAAATTTTCAACTGGAATTAGTGTTCCTCTTTTTTATGCATCTATATAATGTGGAAACATGATCCTTATTATATAGTGGTAGGAAATTTGCCCCAATCGTGCCCTACAGTTGCATGGAAAGCAAACGACTTTTAAAAGATAAACCTGAACATTTAGCTGATCCAAGTTCCAAGCAAAATTTTCAAGGTGTAACTTAATTTTCCTTGCTGAATATAGTTAAATGTTAAAGGAAAAAAGGAACCTAAAAAAGGATCTGTTCAATTAAAAAAAAAGAAAAAAAAACCTTCTTGACCTGGAGAATTCTCAGCCTACCCTGATTACAAAAAAATGCTGAATGCTATGGAATGAACTTTTGTGTCCCTCCAAAAATCATGTATTGTAATAGAATCCCCCAATGTGATGGTATTTGGAGGTGGGAAATTTGAGACGCAGTTAGGTCATGTGGGTGGCGTCATCACAAATGGAATTAGTACCCTTATAAGCAGAGGCTAGAGGCTAGTTATCTGTCTTCCTGCCTTGTGAGGATGCAGCACAATCGGCAAGCTATCATGTGGAAGAGGGTTCTCACCAGAACCTGACCATGCTGGCGCCCTGATGAAGACTTCTAGCCTTCACATCTGTGAAGAATGATTCTTTTTTTCATGAGCCATCTTTCTATGGTATTGTGTTATGACAGTTCAAACTAAGACAATAAGATCAGAAGATTCACTGTTAAGAACGCATGCCCTGAAGAAAGCGAAGGGTATGGCCAGATAACCTTCTGCTGACCTAATTAGGTGTGTGATTCATGAATTCTCTCAACCGTCTCAGCAGAAGTCAGGAATGGGGATGAGGTGAACGATCTGTGCAGAATTTCTTTGTATTATGGCATGGATCCTAATAGCCTATGTAGGAGACTAAGGTTGTCTTAGTAGAAACATTGTCATCTTGCACTAGAGGAAACTGAGAGGCAGGGGCCAGCAGAGCTACAGCAGGTCCAGAATCCTATGGAACTATGTGGGCTCAGAGGACAGAGCCTTGAACGACAGGATTACCAGTTCCTGAAATCTAGTCTAATTTTCCTTGCTAGATGTTAAACTTGTTTGGGACTAGTGATGTCCTTATTCCTTCTAATTTCTGCCTTTTCCAATAGAAGCGTTTTTCTGACACACCATTATGTTTTAGAAGTAGAGAGCTTGTTTCCTAGGTTCACAGGCCCAAAGGTGGGGAAGAATTTTACTCTAAGACAGATCAGACATCCAGAGTCTCGCTTGTACCTGATTTAGATAATGAGATTTGGGACTTTTTTTTTTTTTTTGAAGAGGTTTTTGCTATAGGGCACGTGTGCTCGCCAGACAGACAGAGACAGAGAGACAGAAAGCGAGAAATCACCCCCCAGAGGGGATGGCCATGCCGCAATCCCTTCTCCTCCATTCTCCTCTCAGGATCTCGGGCACGCACGCACACGCGCCCGGCGTGAGTTTTAAGCCACCGAGTCCGAGACGTGAACCGCGGTTGGCTACGTGGGAGTCTAGCAACATAGCCATTCTGCTAACTGCTGATCCCAAGATTTGGGACTTTTGAGTTGATAAAATTTTAGATGAGATTTTTGCCTCCGATTATAATACTATGATACGTTGAATCTTTTGGAGATGCTGGGATAGATGTAAGAGTATTTCGTGTGTGACATAGATATGAATTTTGTGGGGGCCAGCTGGGCGGAGTAGTGAGCTCAGTGTTGGCTTCAGAAAAGATATATCCATGACTTAATTGCTGGAACCACTGAGTGTTAACTTTATTTGGAAAGAGTCTTTGCATATGTAATTAAGGATTTTGAGATGAGAGCAGGTTAGAGTCTGTGTGGATCCTAATTCAATGAGACAGAGAGACAGAAAGCGAGAAATCACCCCCCAGAGGGGATGGCCATGCCGCAATCCCTTCTCCTCCATTCTCCTCTCAGGATCTCGGGCACGCACGCACACGCGCCCGGCGTGAGTTTTAAGCCACCGAGTCCGAGACGTGAACCGCGGTTGGCTACGTGGGAGTCTAGCAACATAGCCATTCTGCTAACTGCTGATCCCAAGATTTGGGACTTTTGAGTTGATAAAATTTTAGATGAGATTTTTGCCTCCGATTATAATACTATGATACGTTGAATCTTTTGGAGATGCTGGGATAGATGTAAGAGTATTTCGTGTGTGACATAGATATGAATTTTGTGGGGGCCAGCTGGGCGGAGTAGTGAGCTCAGTATTGGCTTCAGAAAAGATATATCCATGACTTAATTGCTGGAACCACTGAGTGTTAACTTTATTTGGAAAGAGTCTTTGCATATGTAATTAAGGATTTTGAGATGAGAGCAGGTTAGAGTCTGTGTGGATCCTAATTCAATGGCAAGTGTCTTTATAAGAGTCGGGCAGAGAGGACAGCAGATGTAGCGGTTATGTCATGGGCTCCGACAGTACGTATGTATGTTCCTTCCTGGAAGTAAGTGGATAGTTTTCAGAAATAGCTAATTTCTCTCCACTTGCTCTCATTCATATATATATATATATAAAAGTGAACTATGAAAGAAAAAAAAGCAAGAATGAGCTGGGCTCTCCTGAATGAATACATTTTCTGGTAGTCATTTCGTCCCTTAGGCATGTTCTTAAATCTCAAAAGCTTCATCATTTACTTCATTATCTGTTGGAAGTATCCTATAGAATCTGCTGTCAAATTTAGAGATACAATGGAATAGCAAGCCAAATTTTTTCCATCCTTTCAGTGCCTGAAACAATAAAACTTATGAAAGTTTGCTCTGCAATGTCAATACTATCCAGAAAGTTGCATCCTCCTTGTGCAAACACATGTTAATGGAACTTTGATATCGATTTTTGAGTGTATTCTGTCTTCAGTGTCTGCAAAAATAGCTACTGATCTTAAGCAATATGAAGCACGTTCCCATCTCCATAGAGAGCATTAATGTCCTCCCTTCTCCTCTGGGAGCATTAATATCCACACAGCCTTCTGTCAACAGAATCAAGGACTACCAGCATTCATCTATTCGTGTCAGTAGAAAAATGTAACCAACTTTACTTTGGCCTCTAATTCCCTTTCTATTGGAAACAAGAATTTTTTTTTTTAAAAGCCTTTTTCTCTTGTCTTCTTTTAAAAAATGATTATAATTTCTTTATATTCAGAAAGTAGCATCAAAAAGCAAAACCACTTTTGATAGGTTCACTGGAAAAAAAGATGTGACAACTTTTCCTACGTTTTCATCTGCAAAAATGATCCCTTATGAGAGAAAATGATACAGTTTTCAAGGAGTTGCGATTTTTTTTACTTCTTTGATGCGGTCAGCAGTCAGTGCTTTTTCAACAGATGTTTCATAGAGTTCATGTCAAAGCATTTAAGAGGATTCAGGAGACACAGAACGTGCTCTTCAGACTCTGCAGTGGGATAGCTTAGAGCCTAATTGTGTTAGGAAGCACAAATAGAACTCAAATTATTTAAGGATCTGAAGAGTAGTATAGTAATATAGAAATGTAGGCCTTGGAAGCAGCCAGTCTTATGTTCAGATTCTGCCCTCACTTTTATCACTCTCGAGCTGTGAGATGCATGTCCCTTCTAGAACTTCCAAAGTCTCTGTAAAACAAAAATCATACTAGTAATCATCTCCTAAGTGTGCTAGGAGGATGAATAAAAGGATGCAGTTATACATATGAAGTATTTAGCCTGGTGCTAAGGTCCTAAGTAAGTACTTAAAAAGCAGTAGCTATTATTTCTTAGTAAAGCATGATACGGAGAATAATTATTAGATCAAATGAGAATTTTTTTGAAGTGGCCTTTGAGAATCCTGTTATGCACTTCTATTCACAAGTTGTAAACTTGTACTATGTTTGTATTTTTCTTGCTAGGCATGTTGAATTGTTGTTTGGCGTATAATGTTGGTCTCCCAGAAGCAAAAATATTTTCCGGTCCTTCAAGTGAACAGTTTGGTTATGCAGTGCAGCAATTTATAAATCCAAAAGGCAATTGGTAAGAATATTCTCTTCTTTATTAATTCCATAGAAATGATAAGTAAATTTTATACTTGAGTTCAGTTGCTTGTTCAAATTGATGCATGAAATATTTTTAAATAAACTATCTTTCTTTGAGGGTTGATGGCTGCAGATAGATCATTAATGGAATAGTATAATAGTGCTTTTTTTTTAATTGCCAGAGGGAGCATGGACTTGCCAGAGAGAGAGAGAGAGAGAACACCCACAAATGGAGCATGGTCACATTGCAATCCCTTCTCCTCCATTCCTCCGCTCTGTTAGAATTTTGGGCTTTGCATGCATGTGTGCCTGGTGTGTTTTCCAAGACTCTAACTAGCAGTCAACCAGGTGAGATCCAACCCTCAATATACACAGCACTTTAACCACTGTGCTGCGGGGTTGGCCCAAGTGCATTGTTACTTTTTAAAAGCCTGAATAGAAAAATTTCTCAAATATTCTGTAGCAAATTCATAATACCAGTTTTAACCAGTTAATACAGAGATAGGTGGTTTAAACAGACAGATGATAAATAGGTACTTAGGTAAATATCAAGGTGAGTAGAGGGATTAATGAATGGATAATTCGTCTTCACTTCTTATCCAATGAACTGATATAAATTGATATCCATAAAGCTTTGTAAATCATCACCTAGCTAATACCATCTCTTGAGTTAATTTTTTTTAAACGGGCATAGAAGCTTGTCATTTTTATTTAGGTACAAAAGGGTCTCCAAAAATTCTAATTAATATCACTCCCATAATAAATTAGCACTTTTCACAAATGATTTATGTGAAAGGAAAGAAAATACATGCACTTTTGTAATATCTTAAACTTTTTTATTCCCTACATAGATGTTAATTTATTTTGTTTTCTTTCATTTCATGGTAGAATTATCCTCTAAATTTTCTCCTTCAGTAAGGCTTTGCCTACTTGCTTCATTTTAAGTTACCCTTCCTCACTCCATGAGGTAAAAATCCTCAAAAACATCAACACAAAATTGAAAAAGGTAACAGTCTCTAGTGTGTTCAGCTTCTTTTATTTTTGCTCAAAAGTGCCCTCAGTCATTTTTGTCTTATTTTACTTTTTTGCTGTAGGGTGTTTGTGCTTGCTGGAGAGAGAGAAAGAGTGAGAAACTACCTACCCTGGGGGAAATGGTCATGCTACAATCCCTTCCCCTCACTCTCCTCTCAGGATTTTGGGCACACATGCACAAGTGCCCAGTGTAATTTTAAGCCACTGGACCTGGGACTGAAACCAGGGAATCAGCCATGTGCGATCCAGACACTTAATTTCCACACCACCTGTTGGGCCATCCTCTGTCTTTTAATACTGTGTGATGGTTTAATTTATACCCAGGTGAAAAACAACCCCTCCAGGGTAATGTAATAAATATGCCCATTGCTGTTTTAAATCTCCCATTGTCATAATGTGAATAAACACAGGGAAATCAAGGATTCTGCAAGTTGTAGTTAGAAAGAGCTGTAGTGCCTCCTCTGTCATTGGGGATGCCTGCTTGGGGCCTTGTCTCCCTGACCCAGCAGAAAGATCCAGACTAACCCCACTCACCATCTTGGAGCTTCAGATCCTGGGTCTCCCCCCTCTAGAGCTCTTTCCAATGATGAAATGGGCCCTCGATGGCTTATTAAAAAGGTCATAACTTATTACTTTTTTGTGACTTATGTTTGATGCTTTAAACAACTGTAAATACTAAGAAACATTTAAAATCCAAATTATTCATATTGGGGTATGCCTGTCTTAATGATGAGGAAACAAAATGAAATTATGAGAGAGGGTAGTGTGTCTAAGAATGCACTTTGAGGGAAGTAGATTGTAACGTAGGTTTTAAGTAATAGAGACGAATAGGCAGGAGAAGAGCATTAGCTCATGAGAGGTTACTTGGTAATCCATGTGTGCGGGAATGGTTTGTCAGTCATCTGAAAGGATAACAACAGGTTAGTTGGAAGCTCAAAAAAAAAATTTTTTTTTTTAGAGGTTTTTGCTATAGGGCACGTGCACTCACCAGAAAGACAGAGAGAGACAGAGAGATAGAAAGCGAGAAATCACTCCCTAGGGAGATGTCCAAACCACAATCCCTTCTCCTCCATTCTCCTCTCGGGATCTCGGGCATGCACACACATGTGCCTGGCGTGAGTTTAAGCCACCGGGCCTGGGACTCGAACTGCGGTCGACTGCTTGGGAGTCCAGTGACATAGCCTTTATGCCAATTGCTGGTCCTGGAAGCTCAAAAATTAACAATTACTGTAATCGTTTTAGATATGGGAGAGTTGCATCTTTGTCAACGATCAAATTATGCTTTGGGCAGGGTCCAGCTGGTGGCATGGTGGTTAAGACAACTGAATCCCACATGGCCAGCTATGTGGTTTGAGTTCCAGACCTGGTGGCTTGAGAAACAAACCAGAAATGCATGCGTACATGCCCAAAATCTTGAGAGAAAGAGCAGAAAATGGAAAAGAAGGGATTGCAGTGTGGCTATCACCCCTGGGATACTTTCTCTGTCTCTCTGGTGAGCACACACATGCTATGGCAAAACATTACAAAAAATAAATAAAAAAGACTACCCATGTGCGGCGTCCACCCCGGAGCTTGGGTCTAGCTGAATCATGATCAGAGGGCTGCTGGTGAGGAAGAGAAAGAGGACAAAAAAGAGAAAGCCCTCCATCTCGAGAGGACCTAGGAATTGGAAAGAATGAGACAAAGAGAGAGAGTAGAAATGGACATAGGCAACCTGAGCCTAGGTAGCCCAAGCGACTTGTGCTGCGTCTGAGCCCCCCAGACAAACTGGGCCTCTTTATTTATAGTACAAGGAGACATTACACATGTATGTTTCATGACACTTCATAGATTCCTTGCCAGGTTGCAAACAGTAAGACAAGTCTATAAGGGCTTAGTCCTACTGGACCAGGTGCATCCCTTGGTGATAATACCATCAAGAGAAAGTCCCATTATCTTCTTTTCTAATGCAGAGAAGTCTAGCTGTAGGTGTGGGGAAGAAGCTAAAGAACTTCTCCATAAGGAGTGCACCACCACATGCAGAGAAGGCTAAAGAACCTTTCAGATGCAGAGTAGGGATTGGACTTTGCTAATTGGGGTCAACATGTTTCTTGAAGTTCATCAGATGTGTCTCTTGGCACGCCCCTAGCAATTTCCACCCTTGCTCTGTCTGCAGCGAAGGTCAAAGAAATGACAAGTTACAAAGTTCTGCCAAACCCCAGAAGGACAGGTGGTGCTTGCTCAGAGCATGTCCCCACACCTCAGGTTCTCTCTCTAAACGTGTCCCCCCACCCATGGTCCAGTGTCAGACCCTGACTCCCTTGTTTTCTATGCTCCAGGGTTTATGTCTTTTGTCTGTTCCTTGAACACACCCAGCTTATTCCTGCTTTGAAGCTTTTGCACATCCTTTTTTCACCCTAGGAAATTCTTCACCTTGATCTTTACTTACCTGGTTAGTTCTCATCTTTCAGCCTCAGCTCAAATGTCCCCTCCTCATAGATCTTTCAGAGCAAGTCTTTTTGTGTAGTACTTTGCCACAGTTTCTGGCCACTCTAGCTTTGTGTGCAGACTTATTTTCTGTCTAGCAGTTACTATTCTCAGAAATTACCTTTGTTGATATGTCCATTATCTTCTTTCTGCCACTATCCCTGGGATATGAATATTGTTTTGTTCTCTGGTGTGTCTTCACCAGAATAGTATCTGGTACCAAGTAAGGGATCAATAATTATTTGTTAAATGATTGAACAAGTTTTAGTTCCAATGATTCACCCCATTTACTCTACAAGGTGAATAATAGTAGACTGACTTAAGAATTTTGAGTTGGCATCCAGTAGGAGGCATAGTGGTTAAGGTGCTGGACTCCCACATGGTTCACTGCCATTTGAGTCCCAGACTTGGCAGCTTGAAAATCATACCAGGTAAGTTTGTGTGTGAGGAGATTGGAGGAGAAGGAATTGCAATACAGCCATTTGCCCTGGGGGTTGATTTGTCATTTTCTCTCTCTGTCTCTTCAGCAAGCACATGTGCCCTATAGCCAAAAAAAAAAAAAAAAAGTCTAGGAAGTAAACATAAAAAAAAAAAAAAAAAAAAAAAGTCTAGAAAGTAAAAATAAAAAAAAAAATTATGAGCTGAATGACTCCTTCAGATGAAATCCCATCGTATACTTCATAAGTATGCCCTAACTGCAAACAACCTGGCATTGAGTTTGAGGTTCTTCTTTTCAACATTTTTTTTTTCTTAGAGAGCTTTGCTATAAGGCATGTGCTCTCACCAGAGAGACAGTTACAGAGAGATAAAAGGTGAGAAATCACCCTCCAGGGGATGGCCATGCTGCAGTCTCTTCTCCATTCTTCTCTTGAGATTTTGGGCACACACACATACACACACTTGCCAGGGATGTGTTAAACTGCCGGGTCTAGGATTTGAACCATGGTTGACTACATGGGAGTCCAGTGATGTTGCCATTTCACCATCTGCTGGTCCTCAGGTTCTTTTGAAGTAACTGTTTTCCTGGGGCAGGTTAACTATGAGAGAAAGAGCCATCATTAGTAATAGATGTTATTGGGCATGATAAGCCTATCAATGATCATAAAGGAACTCAACCACTGGTCATGCTGCAGGCTGATAAGACCAACAAGGACAAAGAGTTGAGAGGAACCTATCAGGCACAATACTAGGAAAGTGGAAAGCAGCCATTCTCCTTTCTACTCCAGGATTCCCTCTAAGCACTCAAGACATTGTTTAAAGATAGGCTTATTGGGACCAGCAGATGGCATAATGGTTATGCTGCTGGACTCCCATGTAGTTGACTGAGGTTCGAGTCCTAGACCTGGCAGCTTAAAACTCACACCAGGGCACATGTGCCCAAGATCCCAAGAGGAAAATGGAGGAGAAGGGAGTGTGGCATGGCCAATCCCTCAGGGGTGATTTCTTGTTTTCTGTCTCTCTGGCAAGCACACACACCCTATAACAAAAATCTCTCTTAAA